CCACTGCGGATACATCTAGACACCTCTGGTATCCCAAAATAGTGTTTTCTGCATCTTAACAGCTCGCCCGTTATTTCAAAATGCAATCGAAATAACGGGCTTGCTATTCCAACGTCCCAGGAAACCTCATTCCATGAGGACTAAGGGACTTGTCGCAACAGCGGTGCATTTCAAAATTTAACACTGTGTAGACAGCGCCAAATTTTGAAATACTCTCGAAATGAGCTATGCAATGTGTGTAGCTCAAATTGCGTAGCTTATTTAGAGCTGCGGGTGCAGCGTAGACACACCCCGTAAAATTACACTCAAGCTGCTGCATTTTTAATTGTATATCCTGCATTTACCCTGGTGCTGCCAGGGCACATCTCATGTTCTTGGTGGTAAGATAAGCTGAGCCTCATTACAGTGTTCAGTGGGAGACCACTCCTCACTAGGCACATGGGTGGAAATAGTGTTAGCTCTGTAGCTCTTTATATTAAACCAGTTTCCCCTGGGCATGCTCCAGATTTCTGTTGTCGTCCTTCATTCCAATCCCCAAGCAAGCCTAGATCCTGAGCAAGGATCTCTGCCAGATATTGACACTGATACGAACCACACAACTTTCATATTGGAAAACGAGGACTGATAGGGTGTGTCTAGACTACAGAGTTTTGTCGACAAAAGTGGACTTTTGTCAATAAAACTATACCTGCATCTACAGTGCTGTTGAGTTCTGTTGGCATAAAGTCGACAGAACTCAGCAGTTTTGTCGATGGCTGTAAACCTCATTCTACAAGGAATATCTCCTTTTGTCAACAGAGTTCTGTCGACAGAAGGCATTATTGCATCTACACTGTCTTTTGCATCTATACTGTCATGTCGACAAAGCGGCGTGCTTTGTCGACAGAACTGGTTGTAGTCTAGACGCTCTTTGTCAACAGAAGCTTTGTCGACAGTATCTGTCGACAAAAGCCTGTAGTCTAGACGTACCCATAGAGTGCAGGGGTGGGGAGAAATCCTTTCCCTCCATTACTTCCCCAAGACTAGAGAGGGGCAGTGGATCCTCTGTACAATCACCACACTATCTTAATTTAAGCCGACAAGCCACAGAACGTCACGTTGCATGCCAAAAGTAGCTCAGACTCACAGGCTGAGCACCTATTTTGCCACCTTCTTCTATGACACCATATTCAAGCTACAGCTGCCTAGACAGCAGCTACCTGACATGCTTTAAACTCACATACTGAGCTGCTTCAAAGGAATCATCGGATTGCCTCTGCATCGGATTGCCACTGCATTGCCAGTGTAGTGTATGGGGGGGAGGGACAGTAGTTCTTATTGCTATGATGGCTATTGGATATGCAGTTCAAAAGTATATCTGAAGAAAGAGTTAATCCTTTCCCACCCACAAACCTAATAACCATCACTTGGAATATTTCAGAAGAAATCAGAGTGAGAAACTTTTAAATCCGGAACACTGGCTTTCAGAGTCTCCAAATACAGTCATTTTGTTCTAAAAATACAGCATTTACTGACTACAGGCCCTCCCAAGGACTTGTCTACATAATTGGAAATTATAAAAACATAGTCTCTCATAGGACTACAGGTCAAATGAGGTTGAAGATCTATTTTCTGTACTCTTTCAGCATTAAAAAGAAAACTACATTCACACTCTTCCTGCAGCCTTTTAAAATTCAGAGGAGGAAGATTTCTCACCATTAAGAAACTATAATACTAAGCAATAAGCTTGCTGCTTATTATTTAGTAATACTAAATAATACACAATAAGCAATAATTTTTATAACAAACCACTTCAAAAAGGAGTAAGAAATGACCAAAAAAATATAATACAGGAAAAGCTACACTGGGTCAGACCACGGGTCCATCTAGCTCAGTATCCTGTCGTCTGACAGTGGTCAGTGCCAGATGTACTAGAGGAAATGAACAGAACAGGAAATCATCAAGTAATCCATTCCCTATCATCCATTCCCAGCCTCTGCAAACAGCCTCTGGACACTTCAGAGAATGCTTTTGAATCCCTGCCAATCCTGGCTGATAGACATTGATCGATTTATCCTCCATGAACTTACCTAGTTCTTTTTTGAACCCTATTATAATCTTGGCCTTCCCAACATCCTCTGGCAAAGAGTTCCAAAGGTTGAGTATGCATTGTGCAAAGAAATACTTCTCCTTTGTTTGTTTTAAACCTGCTGCCTATTTATTTCACATAGTGACTCCCAATTCTTGTGTTATAAGGAGTAAATAGCACTTCCTTATTTACCATCAGTCATTATTTTATAGACCTCTATCATACCCCCACCCCCCGCCATCCCTTTTACAAGTCTTTTTAATTTGTCCTCATATTGAAGCTGTTCCAAACCCTTATCAGATGCACATGTGAACATGATTTGTTGGGGAAGAGTCACTATAGCTTTTGTAAAGGAAAACGTGCTTCATCCATCTATTTGAGGGAATCAACAAGCATACGGACAAGAGGGATCCAGTGGAACTAGTGTTTCAGAAAGCCTTTGACAGAGTCCCTCAAGAAAGACTCTTATGCAAAGTAAGTGGTCATGGGATTTGAGGGAAGGTCCTCTCAAGAATCAATGACTGGTTAAAATACAGGAAACAAATAGTCACTTTTCAGATTGGAGAGCGGTAAATAATTGTGTCCCTCAAGGATCTGAACTGGGATGTTTTAAAGCACCAGGTTTTTTAGATTAAGTATTTGGGGGAAAAATGTTTGTTCTGGGGTTATTCTGCTGTCCCTGATCATCCCAGGACAAGGGAATAAATTACAACTTCATTCAACTCAACATCCCAGAAGAATGCAAAAGGCACAGCTAGAATGTCGGGTATTTCTCTCTTTTAAAGTGGCTAAAATATTGTAGGGAACCATTAATTTTCATACACATTTTAGCTTCCCAATTAAATTGTTTCAATTCTATCAAGTAAGCGGTGCATGCTAAATTTCAGCTATGACCCAAAGGGCGAGATCCTCAACTGATATAAATCTGCAAAGTTCAACTGACTTCAGCAGAGCTACATTGGTTTACACCCACAGAGGATCTGGCCCCAAAAGCAAAAATTCTTACATTCTTTGAGGAATGATGGGTAAGATTTTGCTCGCCCTGTTACATACACCAAGCATCTCAGATACTAAGTGCCTTAAATCCATAGCTTTTGCTTTTGGGAATGCACAGAAACATGGGAACTGTCCAAACTACTGGTCCCATGAGGAGCAGAAATGAAAAATAACGACACAGTCATTTAAATCGTTTTGTAGCCAGTCTGCTGGATAGCAGCTCCTTGCTCCCCTCTCTCAATATCATGCCAATTGGTCCAGATTATGCCAATTCATTCAAATATACTTTTTGGCTCATCAATTCAGGCAGGCAGCCTGGAAACCATACATGTAGATGACAAAACTGAGGTCAGCATGAGCACTCAGCTAGCTAATTATTGAATTACTGGGAACAGTGTAATACAGAGATGGCTACTGACAGACTGTGTTCTACTGAGCAAATTATGCCTGCAAAAGGGGGCTGGTCCAGTTTCACTTTTTTTAAGAACATGATTTCAAGTAAGGCAACATGGGTCAGGACCCAAAACACAGTCACACTAAACAAGGAAAAGAGGAAACGATGCAGTAATGCAGCCCCTCTACCAGCGTCTCACTTCACGCATGCAGCTTTGATCATGCCGGGGTTCCATCTCTTTGATAATAGAACTGATAGGGTTGCTGGCAGCCTCCTGGTTTAGTGCCAAAGGCCGGTACATACCCCCTGTGGCCCGAATAATGTATAAAATTACAAAGGAAAAGAGACAATAATGGCAAATTCCTTTGCTGATGAGAACATTAGCAGTTTTTGCTATTCCTAAAAAAAGCATCAGAAATCTACACAGCATCAATCAAGCTTTTTTTAAAATTCATTATTAATAGCACATCTTCCATCATCAGAAGATGTGGTGCACCAGGTTTAGTAAGGAACAGGCCTTGGGGAAAAAAACGAAGATGATCTAGCGTTAACATTGTAAGTCAGATAATTCCTACAACCTCGATCACTTTTTTCTAATAGTAAATTACAATTTAGCGGGGGAGGGGGGAAAACTAAAGCACATCATTGGCAGTTAAGGGTTTTTTTTAAAGTAAGGTAAGTCTATACCATGGTCTCTTGTAATCAATGTACATTAATATTGGAGGTTCTTGCATTAGAATGGCCAGGCCGATCTTATTTTTATCAATTATTCAGCCAGTCAATAAGTCTTTGATGTGCTGTAGGCTTCTCCAAACAGGACCAGATGAGGTACAGATAGCTGCATATCTAAGATGGCTGTTTCTCCTAATCTCTAATGCAGCTGTTACCATGACCTCAGGTGGAGAGTACTCCAAGAGTTAAATCCCACTACACAAGCAGCAACGGCTCCCACTGAGTCCATGAAAGCGGCGCCAGCTTGCTCCATTGCCAGATTTGGCCCCAAGAAACAAACACCCTAGCAAATCAGTTACACATGTTATAGTTCCGCCTTCCTCGATAGCAGGTTTCACCTTCTATTGTTATTTGTATTTTGGTAGCACCTAGAGAACCAGTAGAGATCAGCACCCCATTGTTGTAGGTGCTATTCAAACACAGAGTAAGAGACAGCTCCAGCACAGAAAAGCTTCCATTCTAGACAGAGAAGAGAGACACAGATGAGAAACGGAGGACTAGGGAATCTAAATGACCATTCCAGGGAACTCTGCGGAAGAAGCAGACATGAAACCACATTGCTGAAGTGACAATTTGGTGCCTGAAGCACAAGACCCTGTGTCCTCTCCAGCACACAGCAGTTACCCAATGGCCACTTGTATGCAGATTCAGAATTTGACGGAAATTAAAAATCCTGGTGTTGTTGACAAAGGTGCCGATTTCAAATGGGAGCTCTGGGCACGTTACCCTTCTGAAATTCAAGCCATCAGTGTTTCTTTAGATCTGCCAGCTCTGGGAAGTTCGAGATATTAAAGGATTTTTTTTAAAGTGCCATATTGTTTTTAAGCTACAACAACAGTATGTTCAAATAGCTACACTCTAGACTGCACAAGTGTTTCAGGGTACTTATATACACACACACACACCACCCCTGTTATGACCAATTTATTAGTATGCACAAAGACCACAGGAACTGTCACATTAAAACCAACCCCCCAGTCTATCAATATGTCACACCAGAAATTGGCAATGGTAAGTGCTCCAGAGACAGTCTTCAAAACTGCCTAACACAAAGTAATTGTGCAACAACCGATGCGTGGGGAGTGAGGTGTCCCTAGTCCACTCATGGATCAGCTTATCCCATAAAACAGGACAGCTAATACTGCTAATTTTTAATACTAGCTAATCAAACTGCGGATGCTTTTCTTATTGATAAAAATTTCTATTCCTCAATGAGTTTCGGCTACTTGCCTCAGTAACATCCCGTAGAAGCAAACTCCAGTGTTTGATTATATTTGCACTTTAAGGCAATACTTAAAAAACCTACAAGAATTTTTTAGTGGTATAAAGATTAATTGGTTATTATAGGAAAAAATTAATAGAAAGCACAGTTGAGACCCCTCTTTCTGATTCATTGTTTTCGATATCACCCCCCCCCCCATTCCTAACCAGTCCTAGTATTATTTTTAAACCTCCCCTACTAAAAAAAGTCCTGCCCTTTGCTCTCTTTCCTCCCATTGGAACTGTAATGTGGATTTTTAAATGCCATTGTCACCACAAAGTGCTTTCATTTGCTAGAAGCAAATTACTACATACTTACAGGGTTAGCACAACAGTTCTCCCTCCAAAGCCTTTCCCACTGCCAGAAAGTCAACCCACTTTGCTGAAAATACATTAATGGAATGAAGAGCATGATGATTTTAAACCACGGCCAGTCCTCCAAACGCACAGAGTGAAGCTGCATGTATAACTGAAGACCAAGTGAGTGAAAACTCCACTACAGGCTAATAACTATTTCTGCTAGCTCATCTTCCAAAACTCATCCAGCTTTTTCTATTGACTTCAGTGGACTTTGGGAGTGGCTCATTGGGTCCCATCCTGTTAAGTACCTCCGTCTAAATACTCAGCATCTTCAACACCCACTTCTTTGAATGGGATTAGCAACAGCTCAGCATTTTGCAGATGACTCTCAACCTCTTTCCAGCCCGCATCCTCCTTCTGTTCTGCAATGTGATTTGTCCTTTTCATATGTGTTCACTTTTTTTTTTAATTGTATCCTTTGGTATATATGGTTGTGACTACTTTCTTCCACTATTTGATCTGAGGAAGTGGGTCTTGCCCACGAAAGCTCATCATCTAATAAACCATCTTGTTAGTCTTTAAAGTGCTACATTGTCCTGCATTTTGCTTCAGCTACCCCAGACTAACACGGCTACATCTCTATCACTTTCCAGATCGGACACTGAGCAGCCAGTTACATTAGCAGGAGCCAGCAACACCCTCCTCAGAATTCACCCCTCCTAGGCAATCTGCAAAACTAGTTTTTGTACCTCAAAGTGAAAATTAAACAAGGGTTAGCAAGAGCTACACATCAGGAAAGTAGGTCACTATGCTTGAGGTATCACATCAGATGTTGTGTTTGCAGATATTTCAGATACCAACTGCCTCAGTTACAGGGAATCAGTCTGACAACAAACAAAAGCCCTGCATATTTAGCAAGGTGACAAGTGATAAAAAGAACCAAGTAGGAAAGCGCCTAGATAATCTCTGCATGCTGCCAAAATGTCAGCCAGTAGGTGACAAAGGTAAATTAATTAGCTTTGGAGAGTACAAACTGGATATTTGCAACTCATTTCAAGCATCCGGCTCAAGTTACACTCGGGCTAGACAGTTTACTTCAGGGACAAGAGACAGTTCACCTCCTTTCACCCTCCTCTGTGTCACGGCTAATCACCACCCAACCTATCCCTCTAAGCGCTTGTGAACGAACTCTTCGAAAGAGCACTTTCGAAAAAAGGCGTTCTTCCTCGTGAAATGAGGTTTTCCGCCGTCGAAAGAAAAGCCGCGTTCTTTCAATTTAATTTCAAAAGAACACACAGCAGGAGTGACAAACAGGAATATAAACAGAAGAGAAATGCTATGCAGCTTTAATATACCCTCTCAGCTTATTGGGATTTTCACAAGGGCAAGACACAATGTGGGAGATTAAGGTCACCACATTCCAGCTGGCCAGGACTAGTGATGGGAAAACCTGACAGATGCACCTAAGTATCTAAACAAACAGACACTTCTGCAAAGATTCTGTACCCAAATTCACACACCCCTCTCATCTCTTTCCTGCAACTTAGGCTCTGTCATCCCTCCCTTAACCATGTGATGCTCCCCACACCCTTCCCTATTGCCATGTACCTCTTCTTCCTTTTCTGGTCTGGGGGCTCCATTCCATATGCCTGACAACCTCTCTGCTAGGCCCCAGGTTAGTGACTTACTTCAACTTTCCTGGGACTTTGGAGCTTCTAAAACACAGGGCAGGCAACCTCTGCAGCCCCAAAGGTAAGCAACAGTCAATTAACTCCACAGTTCTTCTAATGTGTGGGAGAGGGAAGAAGCAGGAGGCATCTTGGTCAGGATGAGACCTAGGCTATGTCCAGACTCAAGGGTTTTTTCGAAAAAAGTAGCCTTTTTTCGAAAAAACTTCACCTGCGTCTAAATCCCAATAAGCTGAGAGGGTATTAATTGATCTGGAGCATATGCGAGGCTTCCAGGCAAGGGCCGAGCGTTAGGCAGTCAGGCGAAACGCCCCGCGTATGTCAGGGTACTGACTTGGGAACCGTTATGACGCCAATACAGCCTACTGACCCGACCCCTACCTTTCCGCAGGTCGTGCTCCGAGAGCATGTTTACCCACGATCTTAGCCAAAAGGCCGAGTATTAAAGCTGCATAGCATTTCTCTTCTGTTTATATTCCTGTTTGTCACTCCTGCTGTGTGTTCTTTTGAAATTAAATTGAAAGAACGCGGCTTTTCTTTCGACGGCGGAAAACCTCATTTCACGAGGAAGAACGCCTTTTTTCGAAAGTGCTCTTTCGAAAAAAGGCGTTCTTGAATGCAAACAGGGCTTTTTCGAAAGAGAGCATCCAGACTGCCTGGGTGCTTTCTTTCGAAAAAGCTGCTTGCTTTTTCGAAAGTACTGCTTGCAGTCTAGACGCTCTTTTTCAAAAGAGGCTTTTTCGAAAGCCTCTTTCGAAAGAGGCTTGCAGTCTAGACATAGCCCTGGGGAAGAAGAGCACAGAGCTGGGGTGGGCAGGAATGACAGACAAAGGGAGCGGGAGAGAAGGTAACGGGACGGGCTCAGCCAAACTGAAGAGGTTCACAATGGTCTTTGTGTTGCATGCAGCAATCCACCCATCCTGAAATATAACACTTCACATGAGGAAGTGCAGTTATTTAAGACCATAAAGGGTTTTTGTGGTGAATTCAATGCTGCCACCGTCCACTCCATAATGGCGCCCATCCATGGAAGCCTTTGCCTTTTCTGGGCTGCGTCACTGACACTATTCATGTGGTGGTTTACAGATATGAAATTAAAATTAAACCAGACAGGTGCCAAGAGTTAACCAGCCCTGCCCTGCCCACATCTCACTGCAAAATGAACCAGTCCAAAACACCATTGCAATAGCACGCCTCTCTTGTAATGTCAGACTGGCACATTTCTTCTGAAGACTGCATCAGAGAAAGCAAGGCTGATTATCTGACACCAGTTTACTTAACAAAGAAGTTCAGAAAGAGGACATTTGTAATTGCTTCAAAAAGCAGCCTGCAGTTCTATTGTGAATCAGCACCGAAATCAAGATGCATTGTTAAGTGACTGTTCTGAACCTTGACTAACTGGTTTCTAAGCAAGTACCTGAGATTGCCTTCCTGTCCAGTTTTGCTTGCGGGGATTCAGCATAACCACCATGTTCCATATTCTGCTCCACCCTTTTCATCACAGCGCCCTTGAAACTCATCTGAAGTTGGCTAGTGTACTTTTCATGCTGCAGATACAAACAAAAAATGTGTACAAGTCTATGGGGTACTACATGCACAACAGGCAATAAAAAGAGCACACTATCTTCCCCCCATGTGACCAGGTGAGAACTAGTATTGAGATTGTGCTCTAGACCAAGAATAAACTATATGTCTGAAAAAGCTTAAAAAAAACTATACTAAGAACAATCACCTCTTCCATTAAGGATTCAAGTACCAAATTCCCTCACTGCTCTTTATTCTCACAACAGCATCATGAATTCTTCCCAAACTATCCTTTTATCTACCTTCTCTGAAGGTTTCAGTGCCAGCACATCACATTTTATCATTAGTTGTCTCATATCTGGACAGAAGGGTCAGAAAGGTATTTTGCGTGAAATCAGGTTCCCTTTAAAGAGGGGCAGTGTTCAATGATCTAATCTAATATGCAGAAAAGGGTGTTTCCGTAAAAATCAGGTCTGAGTAAGTTCAATGAATGAGTCACCTCTGTCCTACCCTCCTACACAAGTAGACTTATGAAACCTGGGATGTGAGACTACAACTGTCAATTGAAGGTTGATGGTTGGTATTGGTATTTCTGGTTCTAAATGCTGTGCAGCTTTGGCATTGCTGGGAACTGTGAAACAACTATGCATTTCATCCGTCATGATCAGGAGGAACGCTGACCAGCACCCAGTGACTAAGGGGTTACCTCAGGTACCTAGCAAAAGGATCGGCTGGGGGGGTTCGGGCAATCAGCTAATAATAATGCAGGTAGGAATTTCAAACTGGAAAAGAGGGGGCTTTCTCTTTTTTGTTTGAGATCAGAGCAGTTTCTCCCAGGTATCAAGGGAGATGGGAGACACTTCTCTCTCCAAGAACGGACTTCTTAAAATGTGTAAGTAAGCAAAAGTTTAGATAGTCTACTAGGGATTATTGTTTTCCCTGTTTGGGGGTTTGGAAATTATGTCTGAGCTGGCTAATTGTTTTTCTCTTTTGTAACTAAGGATTACAGCCCAGGGGCTTTCCCTGAGTATCTATATCAAATGGTGGCTCTTTCCATCTAGCCAATATACTATGCTTGCAACTGCAGTTTTGTTTTGATAGAATAAAAGACTGTGTTTTTTATTCTAATTAACCGGTAGTAGCTGATTCTTGTGTCCTGGAAGGTCTGTCTGTGTGTATCTGCATGCCTCTGACTGAGGGGTCAGCTACAAGACACTGCAGCTTGTTTTTCTCTTTTCTTTTTCAAGCTCTTTTGGGGAAAAAAGCTTGGGGTACCCCTGGGGTTGGTTTCACGTGTCCATCCCGTTTGTGGTTTTTTAATTTTGGGGTTCAAAAGCTTGATGCCACTTAATGCTGGCAGCGAGTCCCCCAAAATCTGGGTATTAGGATTTTGGGGGAAAGTTTTTGTACCAGTGCCTGTAGAGGCAAGGTTTTGGAGCATTCTTGCAGGCCCCCAACTTCTGCATTCATAATGCCAGAGTGGGGAACAGCCTTGACAATCCCAGTGGGGACTGCCTTTCTTTCATGGGTGAGTTTGTTTGGTCTCTGATCCTGAAGCTCATGCTTGGGGGAGCCATTTCACAGAAACTGCTCTGTAAGGAAAGTCCTGGGGAACAACTGGGATCTTTAGAGAGAAAAATGGAGATGGTTACTGAGATTAAACTGAACAAATGTTGGCCTGTTGGAGGAAGCATCAAGTAGCTGACATAAGCCAGAGAACTCAAACAAAGGAATTTACCCTTTGTTGCTTAATTTCTCGGAGGCCATTGATTTTCTGCAGAAGCAAAGTTTAAAGTACAAAGAGTTCATCTTTATACACTAAGGCTGTGTCTACACTGGGCCACTTATTCCGGAAAATCAGCCGCCTTTCCGGAATAAGCTGCGAGCTGTCTACACTGGCCCTTGAATTTCCGGAAAAGCAACGATGCTCTACTGTACAAAATCAGCCGCTATTCCGGAAAAGCTACGCTGCTCCCGCTCGGGCATAAGTCCTTATTCCGGAACACTGTTCCGGAAAAGGGCCAGTGTAGACAGCCCAGTAGTCTTTTCCGGAAAAAAGCCCCGATCGCGAAAATGACGATCGGGGCTCTTTTCCAGAAAAGCACGTCTACATTGGCCACAGATGCTTTTCCGGAAAAAGGGCTTTTCCGGAAAAGCAGCCTGCCAATGTAGACACTCTTTTTCTGGAAATACTTATAACGAAAACTATTCTGTTTTAAGCATTTCTGGAAATTCGTGCCAGTGTAGACGTAGCCTAAAGCTTTAGTGCCCATTATTTAACTGTCGGTCATAAAATCATAAATAATTTCAGATAGACGCTATTGTTGGGATAGAAAGAGAAGATCTGGACTAGCTGGGAGATGCAACTATTCTCAAGGTGAGGTCCTGCCAAGCACTCATTAAAGGGAAATCTTGAGTTGTGATTGTTTCTACGCTGCATTATCAAAGGGTATAGGAACTTCAAGCTATACGCCTGCCACTGGTGTGCTGAAAAATTTAGGATGTTGTTATGAACCTGCTGTAGGGTTTTGCTATTTAATGCTGTCAGTGCTTCACATGTACCATACAAAAATACTCTGATGAAGTTGGTTTTACCCATGAAAGCTCATGATTCTATACATTTTTGTTAGTCTCTAAGGTGCCACAGGACTACTCGTTGTTTTTAAAGTTACACACTAACATGGCTACCCTTCTGAGACTTCACACAAAAATAACTTACCTTTAATGCTTCCTCTGGTACTTTGTGTTGAATTTGTTCCAAGACATACATGTTAGAATGTAGAGTGTGCGTTAAGGAAGCAAAGGAGGAGTCAAATACACAGTAATACTATAACTGAAGCAAATGTGATTATAAAACTGGACAAGCCTCAAAGGAAAAACTGAATGAAAAACCTGAAAGCAGTTGTGTCACTACCAGAACTAAACTATCCAATATAATTATTCCCTTAAAACAACACTGTGCATACCCTGCAACATATATACCAATATCTACAGGCTCTATTGTGCCTTTAGGCACAGCATGGTGCGGTACACAACTGTCCACTCCCTGCTCCTTCTCACCCAGCTGTTAGCTCCATAACTCCTGCCATTCCCCCTCCATACCCAAGCCATAACTGGAATAGTCCCATGTGGTTATGAAAGTGGCTGGAAGGACGGCTTTAGTTCAGGGGTGGGGGACTTAAGGCCCAGGGGCCAGATGTGGTCCTCAGCTTGCCTGGATCCAGCCCTCAAGCCCACTATGGGGCTGGAGTATACAAAATCTACCAGCCTGGGCCCCCCAAGGCTTTGGTGTACCAGGGGAATGTGAGGAGTGTCTTTCTCCATCTCAGGGACCACGTCACTGAGGGGTGGGGGGTTTGCTTCTCACCTGCAAGCAGCCCCCGAATGATTTTCCTGTGGGTCAGCGGCCCAAAAAACGTTCCTCATCCCTGCTTTAGTGCCTCCCACAGCCACATAGGACCAGGGAACAATCCAGCTCAAGACTAGCAATGTAGCTTCTTATGTAGCAAGTCCAGGGTTACCAAGTGGCTTAAAAAAAAAAAAATACTGGACACACTTGATCTCAGATGGAGGGGGGAGCAGCCGGGAGGGGAGCAGGGCTGACCAGGAGGAGGTGAGGGGCGGGAGGGAAAGGCCAGTGGGA